CCCATCTTATGCACAATTCTTATCGCTCTTTTTTGTAATATATACAATGGTTGAAGTGAGCTTTTGTATGTATTTCCCCAGTTTTCAACGCCATACTCTAAGTATGGTAAAATCAATGAAGAATACAAAATGCGTAGTGCTTCCCATCCAAAATATATCTTACCTTTGCCAATATCGATATATTTTTTGCTATTTTGTGCTGAATATGTCTGATATGAGATTTCCAGGTGAATTTGTCATCAACTATGACACCTAGAAATTTAATTTCATATACTCGTCCTATATTAGCTCCCCCGATTTTCACTTGCAGTTCGTTATCTAGTCTACGATTCCCAAATACCATAAATTCAGTTTTATCCAGATTCAGAGATAGAATATTACTATCACACCATTTCTTTATCTTCTCAAGTTCCTGTGAAACCCGTCCAGAGAGTTGCTGTAGGTTTTCCCCGGATGCCCAATTCTTATGCACAATTCTTATCGCAACAGTCAACAATATTACATCCACCAAGCTGCCACTGCACTGGGGAACAGAGACTTCTCAAATTGTTCTGGCTTTAAAAAGTCAGTGGAGAATAAAAGGACATGAAATAGTGTGCAAAGTAGCATTCACCTGTTAGTAGTGAGTAGTCACAGCTGTGACATGGGAGTTCATGTATAGTGAAACTTCATTTTTAGTGAGATTAGTTCTTCTCTTTCAGTAATCTCATATGCATAAGCATAATATGATGTAAAACTATTCAGATGAGACAAGAAAAGACTCATAAATAATGCATAGATGAAAGCAGTTCAATGTCTACAAAAGCAACATCATATTAGCTCTCTATGCTTCAAGTTACTGTTTTTCCATGCACCGCAGTAAAGGTCCTCCCACAGGTGTCAACTTTCAGCATTATACCAACTGAAGCATAATTTAAATCAGTTAAGTGAGTATAGGGTTTGTTGAAATGCAAAGAAATTGCCTTTAGTACTGACATTAGAAAGTGCTCATCCTCCCATGGATGACACTAACTTTTTGAATTCATTTAGAGTTGTGTTTCTGAACATCCTGTGAAGTTCAGTCAGTGGTTTGAGTCCCATTCTCCCTGGTCCACATGTTGAAGTGTCCTTGGGCAGGACACTGAACCCCAAGTTGCCCCCAATGGCCAGAGCAGCACCTTACAGGGTGCTGTAGGTATAAGTAATAGTAATAAAAATAATAGTAATAAAACTCACATACCTTACACACACACACACCGATGGCGTGTGTGTGAGAGAGAGTTGGTGCTACAGATGGCTGGTTCTGTACCAGAGACAAATTCCTTGTGTGTGTAACATACTTGGCCAATAAAAGTGATTATCATCAACAAAATATCTGAATTTTATCTGCTAAATACTGAGAGCGACATATGGGCAACAGTTAATTCAGACCTGGTAGATGCTCTCAAAGCACTGAAAGGGACTGTTGAGAAGAAGCTGGAGAAAATGGGAGATGTAAATTATGAATACAGAGTGCAAAGGTTTGGAGTTTGCGAGAGTAAAGTTATTATGACAAAGACATTGTGGAGCTGCTTATTGTGGGGCTCTTTAGATTTATGATGGCATGGCCTGACACCCCCCTCTTTGGGGCCCAATAATGCATCGTCTTAACTCATATACACTCCCATTCTTTGGCACATTTAATTGTGTATTATTGACCACTAGATTCATCACTCTTCAGTTGTAGCACAGAGTGAGTGACTGGCTGTACCTTGCTGGTGGGACGGGAACAGGTTAGAGGCTGAAACAAACTTAGCTGGATGGCAATATCTCCAAACATCCACAGCAGCAGAAGTCTTGCCCACCTGCACTGTGGGTTGCAGCGTTTCTGTTGTTTTCCTTCCCTTTCTTGTTAATTCAAACGGCAGTACTACAAAATATTTAGTGAGTTCAGATAACCATCCCTATCTGCTCAGACTTACAGTATAGTGCATCCATTATCTAAACTGACAACAGTTGACAGTGGTGGTGTTGGTTCATCAGTTAGTCTCAATGTGCTAATTAAATTCATCATAACCAGCGGCAACTCTATTGCCTCCTCTCACTGAGAAACACCCACACACACACATCCTTGCATCATTTACCAACCTGCTCTGTCACTTTCTTTGTGTTTCGCCCCACAGTTCGGTTGCCATGGGAATGAGAGATCACACTGACCTAATTAGACAGCCATGCACTGATGAAATATGCACAACAGGCCATTTAGTGCCATCTTGAATGTGCAGTAGGTCAAACTCTAGCATTGACAAAAGAATCTAATAGTTGTAAAGGAACAGTATTTGATTCTGTTGCAGAAAAGCATTAAGTCTCTCATAAGGCACTGGCACGAACACGCCTTACAACTACTGTCATCAGACTAAACACCAGTGTAAAGGCAGCAGCAATCCCACTTCGATGAGCAGAATCACTTCCTACTCTCACACCTTAAGCCAGTGTATTATTTCAATCTTCTGGTAAGTCATCTTTGGGCATTCATGAGGTTTCATCCAACAGCCTCAAGGTGCTTTCTGAAACCAAACCTCCTCCTGTTAGCCTACTGAAAACAAAAATAATGAATGACTTTTGTTCTATAATGAGAAGTAAAACCTGAAAGTGGTGGACCCCTATTAGACAAAAAGAACCAACACTACATTGTTATTCTATTGTAACTAGATACCCCTGAGGTTTAAACTCTATTCTTTCATTGCATTTAAAGTATTAAAATACAAAGAAACCCTATCTGCAAAAGTAATTTCCCTTTTAGTGCTGCAGAAAGTTGCATTGTTCTCCAAGGCACGATGACACTTAAAAATCAGTTACATGGCACAGCAAAGATAGCACGCAAGCAGCAATTGTGTGTCCTTTATCATTTTTACACATGAATGTTTCCAACTCAGCTGTCTGCCTTTTTATTGTTATGCTGTGTGTGGAACAATGTCCAGACAATAAAGAAAAACTCAACTCAAAAAATGCAATCTTACAGCATTTCCAGACTTTGACTCCATCAGTCCTTCAAAAAGAATCATTGATGAAAGGGATCAAAGGAGAGAGACAGAACAGATTTGAATATGAAGCAAGTCTGGATATTAATACATAATTTTTCATCTTTGACTGCCTTGAATATATTCAGCCTATGGTCTCATCCAGGATTTCAAACACAGGTGCATAGGCTCAGAACTGTGACTCCAAGTATTTAACATATTCTACAAGAAAGTGGGAGTATTTTTAATCAGTGACATCATTATTGTTGTATTAATGATTTTTTTTTGTTTACCTAAATGTTCTGACTGGTAAATAATGACTGCTTTCTTTCAACATGTAATAATAAAATGCCTTGGGGCAGGTTTGCATGGCAGACTGACCAGGAGGTTGGTGTTGCTTGACACTGAGCTATAGCTTGTGAACAGATAATCATTAGTTTGCATCCTGCTTGCTATGGGTGTTTGTGTGTGTGCATCTTTGGTGTCAAGGTGGGTGGGTATAATTGTCCCCTCGCTAAAAAACACCACTGACCCAGAGACCAACAGTAAAAGACTGGGTAGCTTCCTGGTCTGAATCTAAGTTTACTGTGTGATTGTGCAGCAGAGCAGAAAAAGAATATACATACTCAACAATCCTTTTGGATCCTACACAGACAATCCCTTTGGCAAGAGTCAAAAGCCCCTCTGGTGGCTGAAGCACCTAAAATCTTTATATACAGTATCATTTATGCCCCAGAGATTCAGAAGCCATAGGAGTATTGTATTTAAAGATTCTTATTTGGTACAATTGTAAAGTCTTTAACAAATAACTGTTAAATAATTGCAGACAGAAAATTCAAGATGGATTATTGAGAAATGTCTCAATGTGCACAATTTGAATAGTGAAGCCAAATGAAACATTACTATGGGACCAGTATGTTCATATCTTGAACACGCAATGCAAACAAATCACATTTCTGTGCAGGGTAGGTGTGGCGGTTCACAGCAGTAGGGCACATCATCTCTACTGTGTGTCACATAAGTGACTGCCTCCCCTCCCCTTGATATTATACAAAACAGGCTCTCAAACACAGGAGGCGCCATTGTTGATTGTATGTGTCAAGCTGTTTGTCATGAACAAAAATACCTTTTATCCAGCTCCACCTATACTGTTCTACATACATGTGTTTTGCATATAACCGCTGTCTGTGTGGGAAATAAACCGAGCGCAGTTCTTGACTGCAGGATTGTATTGTAATAGACATAATACCCTTGTCTAAACAATCTGCAATAAAGACATTTCATCAGGGTGGAAGTAGCTACTTTTTCTAAAACGTACATCCCTTTAGACTCTTCCATGCTCTCCCGGTCCAACTACCAAAGTCACAAGATCAACAATTAACAGCGGCTTCTGCTTTTTAACACAAAGCCAACATTGGGGACAACTTGTGGGGAAGCAGAACTAGAAATATGCTTTCAAAAACAAGATAATGTGTCCGTGTCTTACCTCGATCGCTGTCGTACAGGTAGGCAAACTTGTCCCACTTGTAGTATTCGATAAGGCTGAGGAGAGGCCCCTTGATGTCAGGTCTCATCTGGATGATGAACTGCTGAGTCCCATCCAGAGGGAAGCTGGGCGTTATGAAGGAGACATGGAGCGTCCCACAGAATGACGTGATGGTGTTTACAGACTTCTTGTCATAAAATCCGAAAATGGCATACACTCCTCTTGAGAACTGTGAACAGACTGAAGCACAGGAAAGAGTATGTTAAGGTATGTTGCTTGATGTTTAGCACACATCCAGTAAATCTAGTGAGTTTTCCTTTCATACCATTTTGATTTGATTTGATTTATTCTTTCAAGCATGTAAAGACAGTTGATATGTCAACACACATAATTTTACACATATCCAACAAATGCTAATCCAATATCAGTTTGCTTATACCTAGTACATGCTTGAATGGAGTAGGAAGAAGTCAGACTTATCCAGTCCTACCCCATAACATCATCTTACCATCATTGGTTTGCAAGCAGTATCTCTACATAGATAATTCTCTTCTACACCACACAAGTAATATACTAAAAAATTATAACAGTGTTAACATTCTTACATAATTACATTCTTAAAT